ACGAGGAAATCCCGACCAAAGAACTGTGGCAAGAGAAATTGATGGACTACGCAGAATTGGCAAAACTGACACACAAACTACATGACAAGGATAACTGTGATTTTAAAGATGAATGGGAACCGTTTACAAAGTATTTAAAGAAACAACAAAATGAACTGGACTCCTTGGCAGGTTTTGAATAAACATTCATAGACTTCTTATTGATAACATCTAGATAGATAAGTTAAAGATCTGTACAGTTTTATAACATGCAGAAAATAACATATGTTGATAAACCAGCGAGAGGAGCTGAGGGAAGTCCTGGGGGGAGGGGAGGGTGGGCTATTTTGGGGGGAGGAGGGAGGGGAAAATAGGGGGGATATTTAAGGATGATATGTTTTTTGATACAATGTTATGTTGAAATTAATAATAATTTTTTTTTAAAAAAAAAAGTAGGTGCTATACCATAGAGTCATAGAACGGAAGAGTTGGAAGGGGTTCCTTGGGTCATCTAGTCCAACCCCCTGCAATGCAGGAATCTCAACTAAAGCAGTCATGGCAGGTGGCCATCCAACCTCTGCTTAAAAATCTCCAGTGAAAGAGGGTCCACCAGTTTGAGGGCGTCAGTTCCACCATCCAACAGCTCTTACCAACAGATAGTTCTTCCCAATGTCTTGTTGGAATTTGCCTGTCTTATGATTTGAATCCACTGGTCCAGATCCTACCCTCTGGAGCAGCAGAAAGCAAGCATGCTCCATCTGCACACCTTCCGGCATGGCCTTCGCTGACGCAAGATGTGGTGATGTGCTCACGGCCCAATCTTTTGCATGTCTAGCAAAAAAATAAGCCACCTCAAATTCAGAGTTAACTTGCTCCTAGGCAAACATGTGCAGAAATGCAAGCAAAGAATGCTTTTGCTAGATCAGACGGGCCTTTAGTCTGAGCCATCAAGTTCCTGTGTTCTTTGTTGTCCTCTTATGCGTAGGGTTTCCGTGGACATGATTCGAAGGCTACTTCCCCTGAACAAATTACTGTACTTCATTTGCGATGGGGCAGCTTTGTTTTAAATCTGGGTCAAACGGTGCAGTTCACACTGCACCTTCCTTCATAGGAAAGACTGCATGTTCAGTTGGATGAAAGACAGACCTCACTCACCCTGTCCTTTCCCTTGTATAAAACCCAAAAAATTTCTCATCTTTATCTCTTGAGAGTCCAATGCAGCAAGAGGAAAACCCCAGGCAATTGGGCGGCAAAGAGTAGAAAACAATGGGGTAGAAGAAACAGGTTAATATCCAATACTTTATTATCCTATTAACTATCCACTCCTTCATTAAACTATTTCCTGTTTGCTTCCTGCTCAAGTCCCACTTCCCTCCCTTGGGGATTCTCGACAGCCACCCGGTTTATAATCCAGCTAACATTCTTTTGTTTGAACTGCTATGTGTTCAGTATGCACCGTATTATTCAATCAAGATTATTTGGAGCATGTCATCTTCCTTTTCTTTCCCTGCCTCCCTTTCAATCACGGCGGTCTGAGGAGTTCTGCGCAAACCAAAAACTTCCTCCTATCATTGCAAACACAAGTCCGTAGAACAAAGGCTTTGTGTCCTTTGTTCTGTGTGTGTTGCAAGACATACGCAACCACTGACATTTCTGCTTGCTGAGATTCTGCTGGTGAAAGAGCATGATGGGTTTTTTTTTATTTGCACAGAGCCTTTTCCCAAACAGGAAGAAAATACCTATGTCTTAGAAGTTGATGTGTGTACACACACACACACACACTGGTTATGCAAAGGAAATTCCACTTGAAGTGTTGAATGAATGTCATGTGGAGCCAAAGACCATAGGGATGAATTCCATGTGCCTCTCCCAAGCTGGTGCCATCTATGTTTGGGGCTACAACTCCTATTCTGACCTGCTGAAGTCCACAACATCCTGAGTCCACCACGTCAGCAAGCCCTGGTTTAGACTTGCATTTCTTGAGCAATGTGGGTCATGGGCTCACTGCCAGAAGGACACGTGAAAAGGATCTGAGGTCTGAGTAGACCCCAGGCTTCAAATGAGTCAACAGTGTGATGCAGCAGCCAAAAAAGCTAATGTTGTTCTAGGCTGCATCAGCGGAAGTCTAATGTCCTGATCAAGGGAATTAACAGTCCTGCTCTAGTCTGCCTTGGTCAGACCCCACTTGGAGTGCTGTGTCCTGTTCTGGGTACTGCAGTTTAAAAAGGATAGGGACAAGTTGTGTGCAGACAGAGGAGGGCAACCAAGATGACTAAGGGTCTGCAAGCCAAGCCTATTGAGGAGTTGGCTATGTTCAACCTGGAGAAGAGGAGACTGAGAGCCATCTTCAAATAACTACAGTGGACGCTCGGGTTGTGAACATGATCCGTGCAGGAGGCACGTTCACAACCCGCAGCGTTCGCAACCCACAGTGTCATGTCTGTGCATGCACGGGTTGAGATTCGGCGCTTCTGCGCATGCGCAACCGCCAAAACCCGGAAGTAACTCGTTCCAGTACTTTCGGGTTTTGACAGGTCCGTAATCCGAAAACAGGCAACCTGAAGCATCTGTAACCTGAGGTATGACTGTACAGTGGTACCTCGGGTTACAGATGCTTCAGGTTACAGACGCTTCAGGTTCATAGCTGTCAACCTTCCCTTTTTTTGGCGGGAAATTCCCTTATTCCAGCGCCATTTCCCGCTGCTACCCCGGATTGTTAGATATCCAGTAGACTGTCCCCGGAACAAGTGAGGCTGTTGATCCCTTATTTTCGAAGCTGCTGATCCCTTATGTTCAAATCTGAAAGTTGACAGCTATGTTCAGGTTACAGACTCCGCTAACCCAGAAATAGTACCTCGGGTTAAGAACTTTGCTTCAGGATGAGAACAGAAATTGCGCAGCAGTGGGAGGCCCCATTAGCTAAAGTGGTACCTCAGGTTAAGAATGGTTTCAGGTTAAGAACAGAGCTCCAGAAAGAATTAAGTTCTTAACCCATCCCAAGGTACCACTGTAAAGGGTTGTTACATAGAGGATAGAGCCAGCTCAGGAACCCCGGGAACAGCTTCAACTGGCCAGCTAAACCAGCAGAGGGGAGTCGATGGGTCTCAAACCCCTTGGTGACTTTGGGGATTGAGCAGACAAGACCAACAGCAGGTCCAAAGGTCAAAGAAAGCAGTTTCTGCATGTGCTGTAAAGGGAAGTGAGGGGCAGGTGGGGCTCATCTACCTGGGAAGGAAGCCCATGTAGGGGAAGGAAAACTCTGGTCATCATCAGGAGAAGAACAGGCTAAGGAGTAAGCACAACACAAATCCGGAGTGAAGTCCCTAAGTTGGTTGGATGCCGCCTTGTACTCCTCCTCCCAGCGGTTTGACTTTGGAGGCACACTCCCTTGTCTCTTGAGGCTGAGGGATGCCAACAATACATATTCTAATATTATCAAATAGATGACAACATTTTGCATCAAGTTTTCAAGATTAGGAGGATTAGCACATTCCTGAAAGCTTGAAAAATCCTCGTACCCTGAGATGCCAGGGACTGAACCTGGAGCTTTTTGCACGTAAAGGGCTGGTCTATGGTCTTTCCCATAAGACCTGGAAAAGTGACAGCAAGGTGGAACTGGCAGCCCTGGGCTAGCCGAACTAATGACATGGGTCAACAGAAGCCAGATCCATACATACACCATCAGCAATATCGAGTCAGGAAATCCATCTAACGTAAGAACAAAAGACGAACCTTGCTAGATCAGGCCAGTGGCCCACCTAGCCCAGAATCCTGTTCTCCCAGTGGCCAACCAGATGCTTCTGGGAAGCCTGCGAGTTCAACATCATGCTTCCTCAAACTTGGCTCCAGATGTTTTGAGACTACAGTTCCCATCATCCCTGACCACTGGTCCTGCTAGCTAGGGATCATGGGAGTTGTAGGCCGAAAACATCTGGAGGGCCGAGTTTGAGGAAGCCTGTTCAACATGAACACAAGACACTCTCCCCTCCTGCAATGCTATTCAGATACCTCTGACACTGGAAGCAGAACATCGTCATTGTGGCTACTTTCTTCTTTGCACTTTCTGCACACCATGTATAACTTTATGAACTTGTACGCATTATGCTTGCCCTTTCTCTACACAAGGAAAGTCCAAAATGCTGCAACCTCTGCTCACAAGGGAACTTGCTCCATCTCCTCGATCATCTGTGCTTTGCTGGTGTCAACAGATATGACCTCACCGCAAGGCGCAAGTGGAGGACTTTTTTCATCCCAAAGCGTCACAGTATCTTCTGATGCCAGTGCAGAAGGTGACCAGGGCAACAAATGTCCCCCCTTCCATACAATAAGTGACTTCCTGCATACACTCTTATCTATCCAAACAAGCAAGAGGCGTGATCAGAGTTCAGGGGCCACATTCCAACTCCAGGCAAAAACATGAATGGAGAGCGCAGAGCAGGGGCAATAACAGAAGTGGCTGGGGAGGGCCTGAAGCAAGTTTCGGAGGGCCATGTTTCATTCATCTTCCCTATAGCAAAGTGTGGCTTCCTTATCAACAGCAAAGACCAGCTTTCTTGGCAGGTAGCCTCGCCTCACAAATACCCATTTGATCACTTCCATCTGCAAATCTGGGTTGTTACAGGTGCCCCATAATACTCATTACACATTTTTTTAAAAAGGTAAAAAATGACAGCACCCACACTTTGGAACTCCCTGCCTATCGACGTCAAGCAAGCTCCTTTTCTGTACCACAATTTTTTGGTGTCCGATATAACCGCTTTGTCTGATACTTTTGACACATTTTTGGTGTCTGATATAACCACTTTGTTCAGACACATAGAGGTGTCTTAATCTGCTTTTTCACCTTAATTATTTTTAATAAATTATTTTTATTTATCTAAACATCTTAAAAGAGTCGCTCTTGAGTGAAATACTGAACTGCTTTATTCTCCAGGAAACGGCATTATTATTATTTGCAGCCTTGCGGCATGCAGCGCAAATCTCTTGGAAAGAAAGAAAAGGTAAATTTAAAAATACTAGACCTGGTCGGCTCCGAAGGGCGTGATGTTGGCCTTGACGGAGCCCACGCTGACTCCCACGAGAACCAGTCCCACGAAGCTGGCCACCAGGCAATAGCGGTTGGCTCCCTGCAGCTGGCACGGGGTGTGGGTGATGTTGGGCGACACGGGCACAGAGCAGTTCTCTACGATCCGCAAGGGCATCTCCCCGCAGAGCCACTGGCGGGTGGTGGAGTAAGCCATGGCAGGGAAGAGCAGCATGCCTAGCAGGTAGACCGCCATGCTGAACAGGATGGTGGGGAACTTGCCCAGCAGGGCGTCCGCCAACCAGCCCCCGAAGGGCGACACCAGGTAGGTGACGCCCATGAAGAGCAGCAAAGCCTGGCTGGCTTGGGTGCCCTCCCAGTTGTAGGGCACCCCGTTGAGGAAAAGCACCAGGTTCGAGGTGATGCCGTAGAATGCCACTCGCTCCAGCATCTCCGCCAGCAGCACCGCGGCGCAGGCCAGGCGCCGGCCGCGGAAGGCGCTGGCGCTGGGGGAGCTTGGTGGGCCCCGCTGGTCTCCCCCTCCTAAGAGGGGGCTCCTCTCCATTGAATCATCCATGGGGCGCCGGGAAATCTAAACGCCTTGGCCAAATTCCAGTGCACCTCCCAGTCTAAGGGACTAAGGCCACTTACAGCTAGCCTGACCCCCCCCCCAAAAAAAACCCTCCAACTTGCTCACACTCTCAGGGGCCTCCCAACCTCCTGACCTAACTGCTCCCCAAATCTGCTAATCCAGAACTCTGCAAGCCCAGATCTACCTAAGCTGCCCAGAACCTGTCACAATTTTGGGGTTCCTGTGGAAGGCGGGGGGGGTTCTTTTTTTCTTTCAGGGCAGGGCTAACTTCTGGATCCCCCACTCCCCCCGGCTCTCAGCTGTTCCCCATAAAACCCCCTTTCTTGCTCCACCCACCCGACCCCAAACTGCCCCACCCGGGATTCGAACTCGTGACTTCGCCCCGGTCAGGGCGCCTCCCTCGCCGCGGCTGCTCCGCTACCCGTGCCCTCCCCGCCGCGCTCGCCGAACCGGACCCCGCCGAACCCTCGCGCTCGGCGGCCCTTCCGAGCTCCGCGCTGCCCTCCCTCCCTCCGCCCGCCAACTTCTCTCGGCTGTTGGAATGCCCAGGTCCTCCTCCCCCTCCCGACCAGGGCTGGGGATTCGCGCTCGCTGATTGGCCGCGCCGCGCGGTCGCTGACAGAAGGGAGGCCCTTCCAGGTTCAGCCCTCACGTGGTTAGCCGCGGCAAAATAGAACGCTCCGGGGAGGGAGGAGGGGGAATATGCTAATTGAGGCAGGTGCGAGCGAACGGGGGCGTGGCTTGGCTCGCCCAATGCCCTTGCTTTTCATGGTGGGCGTTTTTTTTTGACAATGGCAACTCGCGGTCTTATCAATGGAATGAGCGTTGCCGCGTGAGTTACTGTCGCAATACCTTAGTCACGCTTTTTCTTGGAAGTGAACCAAGAGGGCTGGTTTGTTTTTTAAGTACTAATTTATTTACTTTTGTAAAATGTGACTTATAAATTAACGTGCATGCCAGGATACATTTGGGAAAGCAAAACAGAGAGCAGGTAATTGTTCTGAACTCTCAGGTGCGAGGACGTACTGCGTTTGGAAGAAAATGCCAGTTGCTGTCGAAAAATAGCGGGAGGCTGTTCCTGAGTTTACACCTAGCTTGCAAGCTTGCCAAACACGTCTGGCTGGCTACTCTGAGCGCTTTTTGACTGGTTACCTGTTCACCCAGTTTTCTATTCAAATACTATTTCGTGGTTGGTTAAATGGGGGGAAGGGAACGTATAACCCTCAAGGTGTTGCTGAACTACAACTTACATCAGCTCTGGCCATGCTTACTGCGGCTGATTTGATATCTTTGGTATCTTTCTATACCTCTTGATACACATGAATCACAAAACAGCTTACAAACAAACAATAATAACACAATAGAACATGTTTATTTCAAATTTATAATTTTGACTTTTGTACTGGATAAGATTCTTATAAGGTGTGTGATTTTGTTGTCTATATTGTGGTTTTTTCAGCTTGTAAACTGCCTTGTGCATAGTAATCTAGTAAGGCGGTATACAAATTAAAAGTGAAAAAAAATGAAGTGGAAACATAAATCATGCAGAATAATTAACAAATCACCAGTAAAACAGTTACAGTATATAAAACACTATTAACAGGTAAAAAATAAGCTAAACAGCACAATTACAGCAAAATCATATTATAGGATTCATAAAGTTCTACAGCATTCATAATCTATAAAACAATACTAACCGCAATAACAAATAGCAATAAAAAAATAAACTAAGCAAAACCTCTGAAGGGCCAGAGTTTCGACACAACTCCTCTACAGAGATCTGGCACCTTGCTTATTTCCCCATATGGTTCATAAGGCAAACCCATAAAGCGTCCCCTCTCTTCTGCGTAATAGCTCTGCCAAGCTCAAATCACCTTTTGAAAGATGGAAGCGGAACGGAATGTCCTGAATCTTGTTTCCAGGGAGTTCCCTGTGGGAGGCCGCTACAGACCCCTCGCTGTTTACCATAGAGCTGAGAAGAAAGGAGGGCCGCGTGAGATGCCTAGAAGAGCCGACAGCAGGTTTCCGGTACCCAACACGAGGGAACGAAGGCGAGAGGGACGTGGCCGGAAGTAGGGCAAGGGAGACAGCTGTGCTCCGCCAGGGCCATGCGGTTGCTCATGCTGGGGGCTCTGCGAGCCCACACCGGGAACGGCACCACCGCGAGGAGGATCCAGTAAGTGCTCCCCGCGCCTCGGGGAGGGGCTCGAGGCACCGGAGCTCCCGCAATAACGGGCAGGCAGGAGTTCGTTAGGTGAATTAGGCTTGCCGCATAGATTTATGTCGTATTTGAGGGTTGCAACATTTACAATAAACAAATTTTCCGGCAAACTCGCAGGGTCGTTTGCAGGCAGAGATCCGTCAGGTGAAGCTGTTGGCTTTTGCATCTCCACACAGACACCCCCACACTGAGTGGAAGTCTTCAACCTCAGATATGCAGATGACACAACCTTGATGGCAGAAAGTGAGGAGGAATTAAAGAACCTCTTAATGAGGGTGAAAGAGGAGAGCGCAAAATATGGTCTGAAGCTCAACATCAAAAAAAAACGAAGATCATGGCCACTGGGCCCATCACCTCCTGGCAAATAGAAGGGGAAGAAATGGAGGCAGTGAGAGATTTTACTTTCTTGGGCTCCGTGATCACTGCAGATGGTGACAGCAGCCACGAAATTAAAAGACGCCTGCTTCGTGGGAGAAAAGCAATGACAAACCTATACAGCATCTTAAAAAGCAGAGACATCACCTTGGCAACAAAGGTCTGTATAGTTAAAGCTATGGTTTTCCCAGTAGTGATGTATGGAAGTGAGAGCTGGACCATCAAGAAGGCTGATCACCAAAGAATTGATGCTTTTGAATTATGGTGCTGGAGGAGACTCTTGAGAGTCCCATGGACTGCAAGAAGATCAAACCTCTCCATTCTGAAGGAAATTAGCCCTGAGTGCTCACTGGAAGGACAGATCGTGAAGCTGAGGCTCCAATACTTTGGCCACCTCATGAGAAGAGGAGACTCCCTGGAAAAGACCCTGATGTTGGGAAAGATGGAGGGCACAAGGAGAAGGGGAAGACAGAGGACGAGATGGTTGGATAGTGTTCTCGAAGCTACCAGCATGACCAAACTGCGGGAGGCAGTGGAAGACAGGAGTGCCTGGCGTGCTCTGGTCCATGGGGTCACGAAGAGTCGGACACGACTAAACGACTAAACAACAACAAAAGTAGAGGCAAGCAGAAGTCATAACTAAAGCATCCATGACAGATGGCCATCCAGCCTCTGCTTTAAAACCTCCAAGGAAGAAGAGTCCACCACCTCATGGGAGCCTGTTCCACCATCAAACACCTCTTACTGTCAGAAAGACAGTGTAGATTTTTGCATCCTTTTATGTTACATATATGCTGTTTGCTTCTCTGCATCTACACACACACACACACACACATTGAGTTTCAGTCTGTAACATTTTTCAGTTTTGTGATCAAGTAGCAGCTGATCTATGGAGTGTGTGTGTATTGTATTGTATGCACACCAGACATTTAAAGCACACAAATTCCCCTATAGTTTGCCATTCATAGAGCTACTGTTCTAAACACCCTTAGCAAGCTGTAGTTTCTAGTGCAGTAGTTCCAGGAGACTTGTCCATCCCCTATAGCACACTGGTATAAACGGCATTTCTGTGCCCTCCTCTGGTTCGCCAGAAGCGGCTTAATCATGCTAGCCACATGACCCGGAAGCTGTCTTTGGACAAACGCCAGCTCCCTCGGCCTGTAGAATGAGATGAGCACTGCAAGTCCAGTGTCGTTCGTAACTGGACCTAACGGCCAGGGGTACCTTTACCTTTATACCACAATGGATTCCACTCAAAGTTACTGAGATGGAGAGAAGCGCCTTGTCTGTGTTGTTTGGCACTGTGGAAGGTTTCTAGCAGATATGTAATGTTAAACTCCGATCTTATTCCATTTTCTTCTGTGCTTGTAGGGATCACCTAGAAGCTGCTGGTCACTCATGTACCCTCGTGGATATCTCTTCCTGCAAATCCCCGTTGGCAGTTTCAAATCTCATTCCCTCCAAGAACTTCGAGGCAGCTCTGGGCATTCACCTTTATAAAGCAGGCAGACTTCTGCAAGGTACTGTGGTTTCTGATTTTGTGTGTATTTTGGGTGTTACTGCCATTGTTTTCCCATTTGGGAAAAAGCAAAATCTTCCTACAACCTTTTGCATATTTGTACCCTCCTAGAAATTGTCTCCCTGACCTTGTGGCCTCCAAATGTTCTTGCATGACAGACCCCATCAATCCGGGTAGTGTTGTTTGTCATCAATGTTTGGATACCGACTGCCATTTTGAATCAAGATGGTGGACCAAAACATTGCTTTGGGGTGACTGTCCATTTGGGGTTATAGTGTCAGCTACAGATACAGCCACCAAAGTTGGCATGAGAGTTCCCAAGGTGGGGAAAGCAAACTTCACTATGGTGGAGGACGCCATTTTGAATCAAGAGGGTGGACCAAAACGTCACTTTGGCGTGACTGCACCCATTGGCATAGGCTCGGCCACCTCAGTAAGTTGTTGCCAAAATCAACATGAGATTTCTTGAGGTGGAGGTGGCAGTCTTTGTTGACATTTGGACACCAGGAGCCATTTTGAAGCAAGATGTGACTTTGGCGTGACATTACCTGATATTTGGTGTAACAGGTCCAAACTCACAAATCAGTCTATGCATTTTAAAATTGCAATGTTTTATGGTTTCCACTAATTCCTTGGTAGTGCCAGGCACTAGCCATTAGTAGAGTTATGAAGTGTGAGGCTGAACTGTGACGTCTGTGTGGCATTGCAGCTAGAGTGTTGGACTAGGGCATTGGAGACCAGGGTTGAAGCTCCAATGGGCAACCTCAGGGGCCATTCACATTCTCTCAGCCTAATCTCCCTCACAGGGTTCTTGTAAGAATAAAATAGAGAGGGTTGAAGAGTGTGTGCCATCTTGAGCTCCTTTGAGAAAAGGTGGGATATATAAATATAATAAATCAGCAAACTTTGTGATATAGGATGCCTCCTACTGGGTGGGAAAACCATACAATAATTGGGCAAGCCTGGGTCAGCTAGAGCATACATCACATGTCCTCCTTCTGATTTATTTTTAACAAGCGTTTATCCAGAATTTAAAAGCAGCCGTGTTACTAATTAGTGACCATCCCATTGCTATTTGTTAGCTTAATGAGGTGTAAAACTGCCACTTAATTGTATTTGCTTCCCCACCTTCCAGAGCTTAAAAGAATGTAAAGCTTATTGCTTTGCCATCCTGATCGGTTGCAAGAAAAGAGTGTTGGCTGCTGGGGCTCATTCTGCTTTAATTGGCAGCGGGTGTGGCAGAGGGACCAGATCTGAGGAGATGCAGGAGTTTTTGGGTTTTGGGTGGAGAGAGTAGGGATCTCTCAGCAGCTAGAGAACCTTACTTGACTCTGGCTGCAATCCCACACACACTTACTAAGGAGCAAGCCCTGTTGAAACTGATAGGGCTTATTTCTGATTTGCACATGGAGAGTTGCACTGTAAGATATGGAACCACAAAATGTACTTTCCACTCCAACTTTAGCTCATTGATTGATTGGCAGACAGTGCTGAGTGCTGGCTTCTGTCAGGGCAAACGGCATTCTAATTGCTGGTTCTAAATGTGTTTTGATGTTGATATTCATTTATTTGCTGCCCATCTGACTGGGTTACCCCAGACACTCTGGGCAACTTCCAACAAATTAAAACACAGTAAGACATCAAACATTAAAAACTTCCCTGTAGTGATGAATTTTAATTATTGTTTTAAACTAGGTTTTTTTTTGTTTTTATGACTTTGTTTTTAAGAGTTATACTTTTAAACATGTTGTTGTTGTTTAGTCGTGTCCGACTCTTCGTGACCCCATGGACCAGAGCACGCCAGGCACTTCTGTCTTCCACTGCCTCCCGCAGTTTGGTCAGACTCATGTTTGTAGCTTCGAGAACACTGTCCAACCATCTCGTCCTCTGTCGTTCCCTTCTCCTTGTGCCCTCCATCTTTCCCAACATCAGGGTCTTTTGCAGGGAGTCTTCTCTTCTCATGAGGTGGCCAAAGTATTGGAGCCTCAGCTTCAGGATCTGTCCTTCCAGTGAGCACTCAGGGCTAATTTCCTTAAGAATGGATGCATTTGATCTTCTTGCAGTCCATGGGACTCTCAAGAGTCTCCTCTAGCACCATAATTCAAAAGCATCAATTCTTTGGCGATCAGCCTTCTTGATGGTCCAGCTCTCACTTCCATACACCACTACCGGGAAAGCCATGGCTTTAACTTTTAAACATAGTAAGCCACCTTGAATCCCATCTAGGGAGAAAGGTGGGGTATAAATATATTGAACAACAACAACAACAAAAGGAGTAATCAGGCTGGCTCATTTCATAGAAATCTCTTAGAAAGGTACCTGCATATTTTGTTTCATTACTTTCTAATAGGGCTAGAGACCCCCCCCCCCCTTTTAAAAGCTCAGCATCTGGGGGACACCAACAAAGGTCTTTCTGGGTGTCGTGGCACCCATGGCTGCTGGGTTGGCAAGCCACGGGGTACTTTTCTCATGGCTGCCAAAACTTACCTGCCATAAAAGAGATATTGGAAGGACACATGCCAAACACAGGATTTTTTTATATATATATTTAAAATGGAATCTTTTCTTCATTATCGGAATGTAAAATTCTGATAGGGTGCCCAGACTTGTAACATGTATAATTTGACATTGGGCTTAAAATATAATTTAACCATTAGGCGGCCATTGCAAAGGCAGTGTAGGAAGACCAGAAGAAGTCTCAATTAAATTTAATCAAATTAACCCTTGCACCTCTGGGCTTTTTGCAGGCAGCGGGATTCCTTTTGGAATCATCTTTGGTGGAACCGACATCAATGAAGATGCCAAGTGTGACGAAAAGGCCAAAGTGATGGGGAGAGTGTTGGAGGAAGCCAGGTAGAGGAACGAGCCAGATTCGTAGGCAAAAGAGGATCCTTGGGTAGTAATATAGCCAGTCTGTGTTACTCCTTCTTTGCCCTTCTCCCCATCTCGGATATCTTATCCATATTTCTTGATTATGAGGAGGATGTTGTTTACATAGTGTCTTCCCTCCCTCAGCCTAAATTTACCACCTTAATTTTGACGCTGGCAGCAGCAGAGCAAGGTGAGAGGGAAATAGAGGGATGAAATGATAGTTTAAAATAGATAAAAGGGACCCCTGACCATTAGGTCCAATCGCGGACAACTCTGGGATTGCGGCACTCATCTCGCTTTACTAGCCGAGGGAGCCGGTTTTTGTCCTCAGACAGCTTCCAGGTCATGTGGCCACCATGACTAAGCCACTTCTGGTGAACCAGAGCAGCGCACGGAAACTCTGTTTACCTTCCCACTGGAGTAAAATACTCACTACAAATAGCTCTCTGTATGAGCACCTTGTGACAAACTATCACCCGATCTGGTTTAATTAATATTTAAGCCAAGGGGGATTTGAGGTTTGCTTAACCCAAATCAGTCCACTGCTTTCCAGCTGAAGAAACAGCGGAATTTGAGTGATGCCGCTCCTTAAACCGTCATGTGATAGGATGTTCAAAGATACATTTTTTTTAAAAAAAGCCAAGGTTTTCTGAATTTTGGCTTCGTGTTGCTAAAATTAGCTGATTACCACAAGGTACCCTGAGTTTGCCGATGAAACAATGTTTGTGCTGCCATTTGGTAGCACGCATCTTTGCAAGATGGGGTTTTCAGCTGCTGTGAGGACAGAATGCTGTAGCTGGCTATGTATCGAATGATCTTGAGAGTATGCCTGACAACCGTCTAACCCCCGCGTTGACCTACTTGTTGGCAAAATGTGTACTGAATTTTGGAAGATTTAGGATGGGTAAAAGGAAGTCCTTCTTCATGGGGCACATGGCTAAACTCTGGAACTGGCTCCCCCAGGAAGGGGTGGTGACCATCAACTTGAATGGCTTTGAAAGAGGATTAGACATATTCATAGAGGAGAGACCCATTGATGGCTACTACTTCATGCATGATGGATGGGACGTGGGTGGCGCTGTGGGTTAAACCACAGAGCCTAGGACTTGCCGATCAGAAGGTCGGCAGTTTGAATCCCCGCGATGGGGTGAGCTCCCGTTGCTCGATCCCAGTTCCTGCCAACCTAGCAGTTCAAAAGCACGTCCAAGTGCAAGTAGATAAATAGGTACCGCTCCGGCGGGAAGGTAAACGGCGTTTCTGTGTTCTGCTCTGTTCGCCAGAAGCGGCTTAGTCATGCTGGCCACATGACCCGGAAGCTGTACGCCGGCTCCCTTAGCCAATAAAGCGAGATGTGCGCCGCAACCTCAGAGTCGGTCACGACTGGACCTAATGGTCAGGGGTCCCTTTACCTTTACTTCATGATGGATACGTTGTACCTCCACAGTTGGAGACATCAATGCTTCTAAAATACCCATTGCTGGAAGCCACAGGAGGAGAGAGTGTTCATGCGCTTGATTCCTGCTTGCTGATTTCCCATAGTCATCCAGTTGGCCACTGTGAGACCAGGAAACTAGATGAGCCACTGGTCTGATCCAGCAGGATCCACTTATGTATTCTGCCATCCCAGTGATACTTCCCCAAATGGGCTTCTGTCATGAACATTAACTGTTAAAAATATTCATAATTCGTTACAGCTTAACACGGCTAGTATAACTGTATGTTTTTGGAATAATTCTTTATAGCTTATGAAGCAATATCCCACAATCCCATGATTGGTGTTCTTAAATTCCCATTAAAAAAAAAAAGGTGGATAATGTTGCAAGAACTGTAGATATTTCAACAAATTCCACATTAATGGAGGCATTAAGTAAATTTATGCGTGGGTGCCTCGAGTAATGGTTATAAAACAGGCAAATGCAGTAAAAAACCTATGAAACCAATGGCTGCTGAAGACCTAAAGTCCAGAATTTGTGTGACAATAAATCGATGGTTCGCCATACCTAGTAAATTTGGACTTCTGGGCCACCATACTGAAAAGGTTGGGAACCACAGCTAGAGGAGAGCAGGGCTCTGAAGTTGCTTCAGCAGCCACCAGACTGAGCCCTATTTCCATAGCTGTCAACCGTCCCTTATTTGGCGGGAAAGTCCCTTATCCCAGCGCTGTGTCCCGCCGCTGTCCCTTGTTGATGATGTCCCTTAAATTTCCCGGGTTTCAAAGGAAGCAGCTCCTCTCCCTCCCTCCCTGCTGGCCAGGGAGGAGGGAGGCTCCAACTGTATTGCTTGGCTGCGTTGCTCACCCAATAAGGAGTCTAAGAACGACTGGGGGGTGGAGCTTGCATGCCTTGTGCCGATCAAATTGGCTGCGTTGCCTGGGGACTCGCCTTTGCTCAGCGCTTCCCAGCGGAGAGGTGACGGTAGTTTTCCTTGCTTCATCCCCTTTGCCCGGTTGCTGCGCTGTGGGAACCACCGCTTGAGGCTTCATTTGGCTGCTGGCTGGGCTTTCTGCCTTTGGCTCGGAGGGGCTCAGAAGCTGAACATACCTGTGCTTGGAAAATCCCTTGTTTTGGCTCCTGATTCCTTATTTTCAAGGCTGCTGGTCCCTTATTTTCAAATCTGTAAGTTGACAGCTATGCCTATTTCTACACAGACTGGCAGCAACTCTCTAGGCTTTCATGACATGTGTCTGTCTCGAAAAGCTGGGTATTAAACCTGGGAGCTTCTGCACACAGAGCATATGTTCTACCAGTGAGACACAGCCCTTTCCTTTCCAGTAACTGAGCGTGGGGTGCCAGTACAAACTACTGGCGGAACTGTGTGATTTACCTGCTACATATTCCGCCAGATTCTGTAAGGGTGGGGAGGTGGGAGCAGAAGCTCATTCAGTTTCATAAAAGAGCATGCCATTGTTCCATTTTATTTTAATCAAACTCTTCTTAAATGTTGGTGATTCCCCCTGAGGGCATATTTTTTAATTTGGCAGTCTTATCACTGGACAGGCCATGAGCCACAGTTTCCCTCCCACACAAGGACGTGATAGATGGGAAATACAATTTGCACTGAAAAGAAATTGGAGCAAGGTGTTTGAGCGAAAGTCCATGTCTTTGGCTAAGTTTTTGGATCATCTTTAAAGCTGTCGGGTTTGGCATAGGCTGTCTAGTGTGACGATTAACCTCCTGAGAAAAGCCTGAGGCCAAACAGCTTCTGCTTATTTCAAAACAATAGGCAAACCTTATAGGAACAGAGGAAGGAGCTGTCTAATACTGATTCTGCCCATTTTGCTCAGTACAGTGGTACCTCTAGTTACGTACTTCATTCATTCTGGAGGTCCGTTCTTAACCTGAAACTGTTCTCAACCTGAAGCACCACTTTAGCTAATGGGGCCTCCTGCTGTCGCCGTGCCGCCGTAGCACGATTTCTGTTCTCATCCTGAAGCAAAGTTCTTAACCCGAGGTACTGTTTCTGGGTTAGCAGAGTCTGTAACCTGAAGTGTATGTAACCTGAAGCGTATGTAACCCGAGGTACCACTGGATTGCCTACACGGACTGGCAGGGTTTCCAGCAGAAAATCTTTCCCAGCCCCAGCAGCAAATTCCATTGGGAAATGAACCTGGGACTTCCTGCATGCAAGACAGGTGTTTTGCCCCTGAGCTATGGCTCTTGCCCTGCCCTTACGCAAAACACAAGCGAAATAAAAAGAGGAATGCCAGTAGAAGGTAAAGAACATATGAAATAATGAGGAAGGCAAAAGAGAAGTTTGTATACAAGTGTGAGTGTCTAAAACAGAGCTTTCCAAACTTTTCATGTTGGTGACACACTTTTTAGATATGCATCATTTTGTGTCACAGTAATTTAGTTTTTTGGGACGCGGGTGGTGCTGTGGGTTAAACCACAGAGCCTAGGACTTGCCGATCAGAAGGTCGGCAGTTTGAATCCCCACGACGGGGTGAGCTCCCATTGCTCGGTCCCTGCTCCTGCCAACCTAGCAGTTCGAAAGCACATCAAAGTGCAAGTAGATAAATAGGTACCACTCCGGCGGGAAGGTAAATGGCGTTTCTGTGCACTGCTCTGGTTCGCCAGAAGCGGCTTAGTCATGCTGGCCACATGACCCGGAAGCTGTACGCCAATAAAGTGAGATGAGTGCTGCAACCCCAGAGTCGGTCACGGCTGGACCTAATAGTCAGGGGTCCCTTTACCTTTTTAATTCAGTTTTACTAGCAAACCGGAGGTTAAACTAACCCCTTTCCAGCCCTGGGAGGAGCGTGGGAAGCGTTTGTGCAACACTACAGCCGACACACTAATGTGCCACGACAAACAGTTTGGACAGCTCTGGTCTAAATCATTGGGTCCTGATGTGACCTCCCTTTATTCTTAATGCCTCTAGGTTTGCAGTGTCCTTCACAGAGTCAATGAAGGAAGCAGCTGCAGTGCATTGGGTACGTAATTATGGCGTTTTCAGTCATATCTCCAGAGCGTTGCCCTAAAATGTGGGTTTGTGGGGACTCTGTGGCCCTCAGCTGTTGCTGGACTACAACTCCCATCATCCTTGGGCGTTGGCCATGCTGGTCAGAAGGATGGGTGGCTCCTCGTGGAGAAAATGGTTGCTGCTGGTTGCTGGAAGCAGAGCAATACCGTGAAGACCACAGGTTCATCTAGAGTTGTCTACGCAGACTTGGAATTGTAGAAGTGGAGAGTTGGAAGGGGGCCCAAGAGCCATCTAGAGCAAGCAAAGGCGATCATGCCAGGGTGAACATGTCTGAGGCTCATGGCTCTTCAGGTACACAACATCACACTGAGGTTTAGGGTTGCCTCTTGACTGGTCTACTGGCTTTTGTATGCAGTGGCTATAAAACATGCCTGACATAAAGAGGGATTTGGTTTAGAGAGCCCTAGAGAAGGCAGATTTACTTTCCATATAAATACAGTATTTGATAGCAATCACAGACAGGGCTTTAATTTATTTTGATACAGTCGAAAAACCCTACTCCAGATAAGTACACTCTTCCTCTATGATTCTCTGCCTTCAACACAAATTACGCCTCCTTTTGTTGGCAACCGTCCTCTATCCATCAAACTGCAACCTTCATTATTCCTTCTTGTTTTATTCCCCACCTCCCACTCTTTCCAAGAGGATACACCACACACACACACACACACACACACACACACCATCTTTCTCTGTGCAACAGACACTTGAAGTGGATGCTATGAAATGTTGCTGGTATGTTAGCATTTATTTTTTAAGGGCTGCTTTTGAGCTAAGCTGGTAACTGTGTCAAATTACAAAATTGGTTGATGGAGACCATAAATAGCAAGTAAAGTTCTTTTTCAAGCTTCCCGTTCTCCCCTGCTCCTGAGCTTGCTCTGGCGCTCCTTTCTAGAAGGAGCCAAACCTGTTTGAAATTCTCTTCTTTGGGATGCACTTACAGGGGGTCAACAAACCTTTCTGACCTGTGTGCAAACCAGAGGAGCCGTCTTGGTTGCTGCACACATATTCACAACACAACCAAGCAGCCATTTCAGCTTATTTTGTTGGCCGCAGCAGAATGCTTCTTTCGTGACTCATTTTAGCATGGGTGGCACCCTTTGGGTGGATGGAAGGCCTCTGTGGGGCACATTCTGTGGGTACCAGGTTGGTGACCCCTGCAAAGTTTTCACTGTCAACATTCTGAAGCCAATGGTGAGCTACATTTTTGGAGGTCTGGTTGGCTTATTCTTTATATTTTATCTGAATATTTTATACCTCATCTTTAAGGGTAAAGCCCTCACAATTTTTAACTTTAAAAACAAAAGATCTATAGCACCTTTCAAGAGTGAAATCCTCCCTTAGGCCGTTCACATATTGTATCAATGTGCAATCGTAAAATATGAAAAATATCACGAATGAAAATTATCTCTTGTTTTGGTAGAACGTAGTCCCACATTCTTAAAAGTAGCCACCAGATGTTTGGGGGATGGATAGGGAAAATATTAGAAAAATAGCAAAAGTACTTCGGAACAACCTCCACCACAGCCTCGGGGCCACTCTGGAAAAGGCCCTGCTCCTAACAATATCTGATGTCATCACATTGACAATTGAAAAACGCTCTGAGCAGGAAGCCAACATCTCCATTGCAGAGGGAGGTAAAGAAAGCAACCATTTTAAAGTGCTGAATCTTAATCTCCTTCTGCAGCTATTTTAGGGAGAGTGGTTTCTGAAACACAACCATTTCGTGTATGGATGTGTACTGTAAATATTTTCTCACCTTTGCTTTGCTTAGTTAAATTAACTTGCTTTCCCTTCATGCCTCTGTTTTTAAGCCTCGTGCCAGGAACAAAATATATGTTCAAGCTCAAGGTAAGTGTTATAAGTTTCCTATTTCTGCAGAGAAAAACTAAATCATGGATGGGTGGGGTTTAAGAATCATGGCCATCTTCTTTTCTTAGATATATAAAATTTATGATTTTCAGGTTTATGCATTTCAATAATTTTACAGTCATTTTAAAATTTCAAAACTTGACTTCCTTCCTCCTCTTTCATTTTAAAAAAAATATTTTCTGCATATCCAAATTAACTTAATTTGATCATTTATTCATCTACTTTAAATATATACTCAAACTGCAGGTTATTACAATAATCCTGCCAACATTCTTATCTGTTTACAATATGTTTGTAAATATTCAATAAACCATTTCCATTCTTTTATAAAAAAAAGTTTGTTATCTTGATTTCTTATTTTTATGGTAAGTTTCACCATTTCTGCATATTTCATAAGTTTTTGTATCCATTCTTCTTTCACTGGGACTTCTTCTTCTTTCCATTTTTGGGCAAGTAACATTCTTGCCGCTGTAGTCGCATACATAAATAAATTTCTGTACAGTTTGGGTAGTTCTGTCCGTATAATTCCCAAAAGGAAAGCTTCTGGGTTGTTCCCCCCCCCAAAAAATGTTATTTTAAACATCTTTTTCAATTCACTATATATCATTTCCCAGTAAGCTTTAACCTTGCTACAAGACCACCACATATTATAAAAAGAACCTTCTTTCTCTTTACATTTCCAACACTTATTTGATTTTGATTTATACGTTTTTGCCAGTTTACTTGGTGTTAGATACCATTGAGATACCATTTTCATATAATTTTCTCTTAGACCATAATATGCTGTAAATTTTATATCTGTATTCCATATTGTGGAATCATGGCCATCTTCACACACCCTTGAATGTTTGTGCCTGGGTGAGACATGTCCTTGAACTCTCATTGTGCCTTTTGCTTGCTTGGATAGAGGCTAGAGAGGGAGGTGTGGATGCCTGTACAGTGGAACCTCTACTTATGGACATAATCCGTTCCGGCGGTCCATCTGCTGGTCGAAACAGTATACTAGAAGAGGCATCATGTGTGCGTGCGCATTAGGTAGTAGCACACTTCTGCGCACGCACAGATGGCAAAAGCCGCTTCCGTGCATGCACGAATCGTGGCAAACCTGGTGTTTACTTCCGGGTTTGCCGCGGACGCAACTTGAAACGTCCGCGAGACGAGGCGTATGTAAGTTGAAGCTCCACTGTGGAAGCTAGCCCCTTGTATAAAGGTGAAGTTTGTGCCTGTCGCTCCACCCACATTTGCCTTTGGCCACGCTTACCGCTGGCATACATGTGGCCCTTGCAAGGTTTCCCAGAGCAGAATTCGGCCCTCAGGGCTGAAAAGTGTTCCCCATCCCTGAACTCTGCCTCTGAAAGATGTCCAGGCCAGGGGATGCTGCAACAGCCGCTCACATAAAAGGTGTCATGAAGAGAGGAGGTGTTAAGGATGCCTCTGTCGATGGCTGGAATAGCATGTGTGCAATTTTAGTGACAATGAAATCCCCATCTTCATGCGTTTGAAAGAGTAGCGATTGGCAAGGACAGCCAGCATGGCTTCTTCCAGATGTGGCTGGATTGCAGCTGCCATCATCCTTGACCATTGGCCATGTTAGCTAGGGCTGATGGGAGTTGGGAGTGGAACAGGCTCTGGAGGGATACTGGTTCCCCAACTCTTATCTACAAGCCCCAGCGCATTGAACGGTTTCTGGAAGGGAAGAGGAATGCCACTAAAATGGATGAAGCTTGCCTGCCGTGGATTACTTTCCGTGAACTATTTAATGCACGTCTGCTTGTTTTTATGATTATTATCAGGAATTGTGACCACCTGCAACGCTTCTTTCAACTGGAAGAGATTTCTGCAGTCTGAAGGTAAAAAGAAAGCAAAGCAACCCCATTCCCAGTCTCCTTGCTCTGTCCTATCTGTCCTTGTGTCAGGGCAAGTGCTGGGAGCAGGTCAGCAATGACTCACAAGGTGTCAGCGAAGTTTTATTCGAAAAACGAAACAGCTCAGGCCTAGTGAGCACAGAACTCTTCCCAGTAGATCTTGTCCCAAGGAGGCAGTTGCAAGGACTGAAGGTCCCTGCCTTCCCACCACTCCAAGTCTCCTCGTCCCCCAAGTCCTTCCCAAGCAGTCTGAGACTCTGACACCTTGTCTGTCTCTTCTCCACCGCCTTCATACCTCTTCAGGTTCTCAGAGACCAGTGGGGAGGGGAGCTGGTTTCAGCAGGAGAGGGAGACTTCTTCAGCAGCCTGCCTGATCTCTGCCTCTTTACAAAAATGCAAACGTAACACGCTGGCTAATAACTGTTAGTAAATATATAATCGGTATGACGTCATTCAAAATATACGAATAAGCCGCTTCAAAGCAATATATATATATATATCATACAACACATCTCACAAAATATACAAGAAACTGCAAAGTTGTTATGTGTGTCAGAGTCAAACCAAGATTCAGACAACCAATGAATAGCGAGGAACGCCAAACCATCTCTCAATAATAATAATAATAATAATAATAAGAATAATAATAATAAATTTATTATTTATACCCCACCCATCTGGCTTAGTTTCCCCAGCCACTCTGGGCAGCTTCCAATCGAGTGTTAAAAACAATACAGCATTAAATATTAAAAACTTCCCTAAACAGGGCTGCCTTCAGATGTCTTTTAAAGATAGGATAGCTGCTTATTTCCTTCACATTTGAAGGGAGGGTGTTCCACAGGGTGGGCGCCACTACCAAGAAGGCCCTCTGTCTGGTTCCCTGTAACCTCGCAATGAGGGAATTGCCAGAAGGCCCTCAGCGCTGGATCTCAGTGTCCAGGCTGAATGATGGGGATGGAGACGCTCCTTCAGGTATACTGGACCGAGGCCATTTAGGGCTTTAAAGGTCAGCACCAACACTTTGAATTGTGCTTGGAAATGTACTGGGAGCCAATGCAGATCTCTCAGGACCAGTGTTATGTGGTCCCGGCAGCCACTCCCAGTCACCAGTCTAGCTGCCGCATTCTGGATTAATTGCAGTTTCCGGGTCACCTTCAAAGGTAGCCCCACGTAGAGCGCATTGCAGTAGTCCAAGCGGGAGATAACTCAAAGGAAGACATCTCACAAAAGTCTCAAAAGGACAGTGCATCCGGAATAGTTCAACTGTTTCGGAATGAAGTCTTCATCAGCGAATAATTATCAGTGAAATATACATACTAGTGAAGATCATACTAGTGGACCAGTCTTCCTTTGAGACTTTTGAGAGACGTCTTCCTTTGAGAGACGGTTTGGTGTTCCTCGCTATTCATTGGTTGTTTGAATCTTTGTTTGACTCTGATACACATAACAACTTGCAGTTACTTGTATATTTTGTGAGATGTGTTGTATGATATATATATATATTGTTTTGAAGTGGCTTATTCATATATTTTGAATGACGACATACCGATTATATATTTACTAACAGTTATTAGCCAGCATGTTGCGTTTGCATTTTTGTGGATTGTCACATTTTGCAACACAGGGGTTTGTGTTTGTTCTGATCTCTGCCTCTTGGCACCCCTGCTCTCCAGTCTCCGCTTCTGCCACAGCCTTTCCCTGCTCACTAAAGTGTTCCCTCTTCGGCTTCCGACATCTCCTCCTCCCAGTCTTCTCCCTTTGACCAGTCATTGTCGCCCCACCACCAACACCCGGCTCTGTACCTTCTTCCAGAGAAGCCAGCAGTGGTGTAGTGGTTAAGAGCAGTGGACTCATAATCTGGTGAACCGGGTTTGCTTCCCCGCTCCTCCACATGCAGCTGCTGGGTGACCTTGGGCTAGTCACACTTCTCTGAAGTCTCTCAGCCTCACTCACCTCACAGAGTGTTTGTTGTGGGGGAGGAAGGAAAGGAGAATGTTAGCCGCTTTGAGACTCCTGAAGGGGAGTGAAAGGCGGGATATCAAATCCAAACTCCTCCTCTTCTTCTCCTCCTTCTCCTCCTTCTTCTTCTTCTTCCCCCTTGGGGGTTGCCCAGCTGGTGTCTCCCACTACCCTTCTGAATCCAGTTCAGGTGCCAAATCCTTGAATGCAGAGGTGGTGACAAGGTTAGAGCTGGTTGTGCAAAGTCCTGGACAGGAAACAGGGTCTCCAATCCCAGTGTGGTTCCTGGGCGACTCGAATGGCTCTAAACATTGCTGTTACCCCTGTGTAGGCCAGCTAAATTGGCAAAACAAATTGAAAACTTGTTTCTGAATGGATCTTTTCAGGCCCCTAGTTAGAATTCCCTTCTTCTCCTTCTTTTCATCCCGAGTTTTCATAATTAATGTCCATAACCTTCATTTAAGTAGCGTAAAACAAAGCTCCTTTTGAGAGGGCCTGAATTGAAAGCTAAACAGAGGCCGTCTCTTCTGAGTCCACGACAGCTCCAACTAGCAATGGCGGAAATTGATTTTTCTCCCTCTAAACCACAGTGAAAATAGTGTCGGGAGGGAGGGAGGGAGCGTGAGCTGGTGCCAGCTTTTCATCCAGCGATTTCTTTAAAAAGTAGAAATGGTGTAGCTTTTTAAAAAAGCATAAATAGATAAAATCCTCCCTGAAATGTATGTGTCTGCAAAGTGAAGGGAGTTCACTCACTAGTCTGAATAATCTCCACGCAACCTTTCCAAGAAGGCCTAGATGAAATAATGATTTCTGAGGGGGCAGAGAGGCGATGCGTCAGTATGAATCGATAGGGCTTGCTTGGTCCATGTTTCAGTCATTTATTGCCGCGGTAGTCAACATGGTGCCCTCCACATGTTGTTGGGCTTAGAACTCCTATCAGCCTTGTTTACAACGGCCAGTTGTGGCCTTAGAATCATAGAATTGTCAAGTTCAAAGGGACCAAGGGGGTCATCTAGTTTGACCCCTGCAGCGTAGGAATCTTTGGTGCTACGTGGGGCTCAAACCCAGGACCCTGAGATTAAGAGCATTATGCTATCCCAGGTCTTCCCTGGATGGTGGACAATAGGCGTGTAGTCCCAACAACATTTGGAAGGCTCTGTGTGGGCTACCCTCAATTTATAGTCTATGCTATGAGACTCTCCCTGGAGGCTGAGCTAACTTTAGAAGTAGGGGCAGAAAGTAGACACAATGTTGGGGTGGCCGTGGAGATTTGTGCACATGTCCTGTTTGTGTGGGATGCAGGTGGCACTGTGGTCTAAACCACTGAGCCTAAGGCTTGCCAATCAGAAGGTCGGCAGTTTGAATCCCCGCGACAGGGTGAGCTCCCATTGCTCTGTCCCTGCTCCTGCCAACCTAGCAGTTCAAAAGCATGTCAACAAGTAGATAAGTAGGTACCGCTCTGGCAGGAAGGTACAGGGTAAGTACTTAATTCGTTCCGGAGGTCCGTTCTTAACCTGAAACTGTTCTTAACCTGAAGCACCATTTTAGCTAATGGGGCCTCCTGCTGCTGCCGCGCCGCCAGAGCCCGATTTCTGTTCTTATCCTGAAGCAAAGTTCTTAACCTGAAGCACTATTTCTGGGTTAGTGGAGTGTGTAACCTGAAGCGTATGTAACCTGAAGTGTATGTAACTCGAGGTACCACTGTATATGGCATTTCCATGCGCTGCTCTGGTTTCGCCAGAAGCAACTTAGTCATGTTGGCCACATGACCCGGAAAAACTGCAGACAAACGTCGGCTCCCTTGGCCAGTAAAGCGAGATGAGCACCGCAACCCCAGAGTCGTTCGCAACTGGACTTAACTGTCAGGGATCCTTTACCTTTACATTTTTACCTGTTTGTGTGCCCCAGTACAAGTGGCCACATTTACTTCTATGCACCCCCACCTGTGCTATGCACCCCCCAGTGAATATGCCCTACTTTTTGCCATATAGTGAAACACCAGGAAGAGGCAGTGGGGGCAGTCCAGCCTCCCCATGCAATGAGTTCCATAATGTAAGTGCAGCCACAGAGATCTCCCAACTTTTCTTCTGTAGAGGTGACACATATGAGAGTCTCCAATGGGAACATGGGGCACTCCCTAATAATAATAATCATAAATTTTATTTATACCCCACCCTCCCCAGCCAGAGCTGGGCACAGTAAAATTACAGTAAAAAACATAATGGGGGGGGCAATTTAAAATACAGGTTAAAATGCAATTTAAAATGCAGCCTCATTTTAAAAGTAGCCCATAAATCAAAACCATAAGGGGAGGGAAACATAAGGGGCAGACTGAGTCCAAACCAAAGGCCAGGGGGAACAGCTCTGTCTTGCAGGCCCTGCGGAAAGATGTCAAGTCCCGCAGGGCCCTAGTCTCTAGTGACAGAGCATTCCACCAAATCGGGGCCAGTACTGCAAAGGCCCTGGCCCTAGTTGAGACCAATCTAACCATCTTGTGACCTGGGACCTCCAAAATGTTGTCATTTGAGGACCTTAAGGTCCTCCGTGGGGCATACCAGGAGAGGCGGTCCCATAGGTACACGGGTCCAAGGCTGTGTAGGGCTTTAAAGGTCAAAACCAGCACCTTAAACTTATAGTGAGTTAGGCTGATCCATCTAGCATAGGATGTTCTGCACCAGCGGTGGTGTTGGACTCCAACTCCCATCTGCCCCAGGGGCCCTAGCCGATGATCACAGATGACAGGAGCTCTAATCTAAAATTGGAAGGCCACAGGTTCCTCAGCCCTGGTCTGCACAGGTTCTCCAGGGTTCCAGGCAGGAATTTTCCTCAGTGCTGCCTGGAGATTAAGCATGGGACCTTCTTCGTACAAAGCAAACACTCTCCCGCTGAGCCAAAGCTCTTCTGGAGGGGAAATTATATTAAGGCACAATCCAGGCACTAACTAACTTAGCTTTGACAAGTTGGCAGCATCTTTTTATTAAAGTAATCATATTTCCCTCCCAAATTTCTCTGCTTCCCTGAAGCCC